GCCGCTGCCTCATTTATAGAAAACTTTCCTGGGTCAATGTTTTTGAGACGTCGAAATGTCACTTGGCAGACCGGAAGCGATGGTATTCGTCAACAATAGATTAAAAGGTATTTCTTGTGTCGCTGACAGCGTAGTTCCACTGAAATTCATGTTTAACCTTCTGAAACGATGATTTGTCATGATGAGCGTTCCCGACGATTTATAAAACCGGGTTTCGCGCATATTCCGCGGCTGGCGGTCTTCACCGCTATTACCTCGACCGAGGAAAGCAGATTTCATGTGCGAACCATATGGGACTTCCTAGTGACTCCGGGATGGTACAGGGTATCATGTAGTTCCTGGAGTATCATTGTGTGTGCTATCGAAGAACCACGTATACGTGATGAAGCGTCTGCAGGCATCCTCTCTCTCCAGCCTCGATACACTAAGTCATAAGTATAGCACGAGTGCTCAACGCATCAACGCTGAATTTAATCACCTTTGATCTTGCCATTCTGATCGAGGTTAAAGGCAAATGAGGGAGAACGGTGATCCAAAGTACTAATAAATCGGTTGCTTACCGCCATTCGGACGATTCAGCATGCACTTCTCGATGGCAAGATAGCGTCGTTCCCTCACAGTAGACGTTCGTGAGAATGCAATCGGTTATCCGTTTTGCGTTAGTATGTCATCAATGGCAATATCGGATGTGTCCGTTTCAACGACTAAGGGTATGGCCTCATCTATACAGACGGTTACAGAGTCTTCAGTGTCTCGATCTCTTTGAATATCTCTAGAACCAAATTGGGGTGGGGAGCAGCGATTGTCGAGTAGTAGGCGGATTTTGCCCGAGAAGTGTGAGATCCACCGGGAACAATATGCAAAAATTCTAACAGCATGTTGTTGAGACTTAAGGCGAGCGGATCGGGCAGACATCTCAAAGGTTGAATCTGGTCCGGGTCTGATCGAATAAGCGTGAAACTTCGTGTACTGGTAGTCGTATCTTCTTCGAATGAATGATGCTTTTTCGTTCATTGAATGGTTGGTTGTGCTTCACAACACTGCTTGATTACAACTATGCTCTTGCTCGATTGCACCCCGCACCGTTGTCGTCCATTTAGGCGAAAATCTGATTCGAATTCTAATCCGTTATTACATTATCGGTGACTCAGTTGGTTACACTGAAAGGTATGCGACAAAATTGGAACAGATTTTCGGTAGGCTTCAAATGCGGTGAATTTTTCCATTTACCTTAGTAGGTATCTGATGATATGAAGTCTTTAAGTCTAAAATTCTGTACAAAGAATGAGCGGAAATTTTCTCGGTAAGGCCGTTGATTCTAGTTAGGGAATCAGTGTACCAGTGGATAGTTTGTCTCTGATCTACAGCCATACGGCGTTTATGCGTTTCGTTCGTAATTACTTAAACCTGAGCTCACCACAGAAAGACGGACGACTTAATGTTTCTATTTTAAAGAAGCTCCTTTATCTTTAACTAAATGAACCTCGTCCACAGTTGAGTGGCGATCGGTATGAAAGTGGAAGTATCGTTCCAGAATAGAGTGGGCGGATCCACATCGGGGGCCAACGATGCGCATAACGTGAGGGGTGGCTGTTCGCCAAAGAACGGATTCTGGACAAAATGATGAAATTTGAGAAAATCGTGTCGTAAGAGTGCACATAAACAAAGGTTTTAGAGTACAGACAGTGTAGCACTTGTGTATTAATAGTTTTTATACGGTAACAGTATAACGACCACTGGTGAAATTTGCTAAGTGGGTACTAGCCATCGAACTTCTCTGACAGGAACCGAGGATATCGCAGTTAAACCGTTCGATAACCGATGTAGCTTTTTTAAATCTTCAGGTATCAATCAGTGCTTTTAGAGGGATGTTGTTGATGAGTACATCGGTGACGGCATTGGTAGGGCCTTTCGGTTCCAGTGCAACTGCGACGGAGAATCGGTAACCATGGAGCACAGAGCTGATGTTTTTAGATGAAGAACGAGAAATCTGATAGTGTTCTTTCCTTTCACAACCGTTACGAATTGTATCATGTGCAGGGCATTGAAATCGACTATGTCCGTTGATCCCCCAGAAGCATTTGCCATGCAGCAGTGACATTTTTACCTGAGACTAGGGAAGCACTTAATGTTTACAAAGGTTCTGATTAGCATGTAGGTGAACGATAAGATGGTTTTTTATTTGTCTAACTTTGACTGACGGTAGGCTGTTTCGAGAGATCGGGCGTGTTTACAACCGGAAAGGAGATCAAGCGATACATTTTCCAAGAGACGTTGACGTACAGCTTACAATTGAAGCCGTCATGAGTCCGTCTCGGATGGCGTCTTCGCGATTCTCCTTTGTCGTCACCATTTTTAGTGTTACAATCTTGAACTACAATTTGTGCTAGCAACTGGGACATGCGAGCGGTATTGAAATATGGAAAGGCTATAGTAAGTGATCAATTAGTGAGAAGTTTACGTATCGGTCACCTCGACTGGTGCTCAGATGTTTGAAACAAAGTTTTGGCATCTGGTTCGTCCATCAGGTTTGTATGTGATAGTGGATGCGGTCCAGATCGATATTCACGCTTCGTAAATTGCAAACACAGACGGCAAGCAGGCTCCTTCGAAACTGCACAATTTTCCGAATGCAGAAGAGATCAATCATCGGACCTGGTTTGAATCGTTTTTGAATTCTGCATGTCGATCATAAAATATTTAGAGTCATACTTGTTGATGTCATTGTGCTGAAATTGATCACAGAGTGGCCTGTTATTCTCGGTGGGTACCCGGTAGCTTAATTCGGACACTTACTTGAGAAGAGCGCATAGAGTGGTCGCTTTTGTCAGCTCGTCATGCGTTGGCTTCCAGACACTCCCCGAAGCGGCTTTCCCGCTCGAATGGGGAGCCTAATTGTGCACTCACGTCACCTTTGTTGATGATGACTTCTGTGTGAAAGCTGCGCATGGAATTCATTTGTGACGGATCTGGCAACGCATTTTGTATCACGTACGGCTACTACTTGCCAGCTTCGACGGAGCCTTTGTGGTTGTTCGCTGAGACCCATTGCTTGAGAGTAGTGACTCTAATACAATCAATTCTCCGACTCGTTACCTCGAAATCATTGTGGCTACGAAGCTAGTCAAGTTCGTAAGTGGAGCCCGAACCAAGCAGCTCCAAATGTATGCCACTGATCTTCATGCATGTTTCAGAGACACAGCACGGTTCAAATCAGCGAGCGTCACTTATTCTTTATCCCGACATACTAGTACCCCTCGATTTGAATGATGACTTCGCTTCTTCCTTAATGAAACTGCTAAAATCATGAGTGGTTTCTTGTTGGGTAACATGGGAAGAGAATACTCGAGAGAAGGAAAACTGTCACTGGTGATGATCTTGCTGTCAGGTATTACTCCCTTTCCAATCGATTCTATGGTAGGAATTCTGTTCGAAAGTAATTACTTGAAAACACAAGGCAGTAAGAGGCAAGTGCAGCTCGGAAACGTTACTGCGGAACTCCATCGAGGTCTGTCACACATAGCCTACTCTAGCATTTGATGCACCTGTGATTACATACAACCGCAGAGAAAGCTTGACCAGTGCTTGTCTAACTTGTGGCTGTCTGTAGCAAACCAATGAGCCGTTGTTGTGCTCAGTCGGCGCATGATTAAATCTGCGTTGCTGCTCCATGTCAATCAGACCGGATTTACAAGTTGTAAACTGTTGTCTTATACGGCTGCGTTTTGAGAGTGGAAGTTTACCGACCTTTCCATCGCTTCGTATGAAAATGAAACCGAGACTAAGTTTATCTGATCCCTCTGGTTTAAGTGACTGCAAGGATCGCCATCCTAGCTCATTTGGACACGCACTGACGCGAGCCATCAGGGTATTTAGTTGCACCTGGTCGCGATATGCCGTGTAGACGGATGACTGAACATCCGTCGGTCATTGTAGACACCATGGTTACTACATCCACTCTATTCCGATTCTCGTCTGACACGCTAAGTTATTGCACGTACCTTACGTATGCCCTCCACAACACTATTTGCATCGGTATAATTGGCACCAGTTTGGCCTGCAACCGCTCCTTTACCACTATTTAACCACTGTTTCATATAGCACAGTATGATGGGGTATTTCTGGTGGTCAGCTCATACTCTTGCTGATGAAGGGAAGAATGGAAATCGCTTCATTGCAGCCAATGCCTCTGTGTGAATCGGAGATGTCCGCTGCGTACTGCAGACTAACCACTCTTGACCGCAGACGCCCAAAATGTATTGCTCATGTCTGATTATGTGATCTAATTTGCAATTTTATAGTATGCCAGTTGATGTTTGGAAACCAGCAATGTGGTTCTGCATTACAGGGTCTGCCGAATTTGAGCCAATTATGTTGGCTGATTTACGCCTTTCGTATAACTACTAGCCAACCTAATTGGATAAGGTTACCTCAAGACCGGTCGATGAGGCGATAACAGAATTTGAAGAAGCTTGGGGAAAGATAGGGTCGGTTTGGTGTGCAGCCATTTTGAGTGGGGGACCGGGGGTTGAATCATGCCATTGGCTAGATAACCAATCAAAAGCGGCGATATCACAAGGTCATTCGCACTTCTGCATTCGCCCTGTTATTTCTGATGCAACTATTTCCTCTAACGATTTGCATCCTCCAACTATTGCTTCCTTGTTACACCATCATTGTCATTGGTTACGTGAGTCAGGGAAGCTGAATTCGCCACATCACTACACGGATCATAGCTTATCAGCTGAACCGAGCCGAACTTCGGTATAATCAACTGATTTCATTGCTTTGGGAGGTAGCCAGTCCTTAAATATGCCTTCTACTTATCATTTCAGAGATAGACTGATTTGCGCCGTACTGCGTTGCCACATGTTGCATACCGTTCTCATGTGTTCTACTACGCGAAACAAGCAGCTGTAATTTTACCAACTAAATTGTTTTGGTTGCGTTGACCACCGTAACCACCTCTCGGATGCATAACACTCCTCTCTTTGTTCCAGTGAGCAGGCGGACATACACATCAAGGTGCGGTCCCGTAGCAAATCGTCCGTGTTTATTAGAAAGTGGACCATTTTCACTCTTTACGCACATTTGGTTGTAAACATTTCCTGTACTTTCCTCCTGTTACTCGCTGCCAAGAAAAACTACCCTGGTGGGGACGCGCTTGCCAAATTGAATAGCTGGCCAGGTCTGCGCGAGCGCCCTAGTGAGTTGTTTCGGTTCATGCACATCATTTTATTTGTTTCCCATGCTTATTGCTGCATACGTCTAACAGTCTCTGCCTCGCCATATTTCATTTAACTTTTGAACTATCATATTGATAATCAAGCAGCCGACAGTAAAAGTAAACTTCACAGTGAGAGGCACAACACGAAAGAAAGTTAAGATCACTGAAGCGTCGTACCGAAGCATAAAACACAAGGACAAGGAGATTGCACACGAAACAGTGACCGCCTTCCTGATTAATCATGTGGTCGATCTCTTCTCCCGTTTCTGGAAGGAGACATTCACAGGTATGATCCGGTTTTTCTGGTAGCTTCTTCATGTTTCCCGGCCATCGTGACACATCGATCTACCTGGAGTAGTCTCAACAAACACACGTTGAGGGGAGTGGTCAGTGAGCATTTTTCACTACAGATAATTCGAGTTTAACTGACGCTCCGGAAGGCATCGCCACTTAGCCAACTACACACAGTGGCAGCAGCAACGATTTACAGACAACGATATTCCAGCTAGTTAATGTTTGACTTTTTAATATACGCGCGCTGTCGTTGAGTTTCCGCTGCGGTGAGTACATAAAAATGGATGCTTTCTTGGTCCAACTGAAGAGCACTCAGCTCTTAGTTTGTTTAATGATTGAAGTTTTCACCATGGAATTCAATGTAACCGGGGAACCCAGCCAACTTGTCATTGGATTTGTGTGAAGCGCAGTTCGTACTATCAAGACTACTACTGCCACTACTACAACTGCTACAAATGCACACTGAAGATGTCACCTCGACTGGTGACGAAACAACTGCAATCGGATTGCTCAGCGCACTGAGCAAACCAACATCTCTTTGTCATTGACTAAGCAGTGCCGACGTTAGGGTATCTGAACTTGTAGACATACTCATCCCTTACAACATGCAGAAAAAATCCAAAGGTCATCTTCATACCGGCAAGATTTGTGCGGCTCTTGACAGCATTAGCAGCCACTGGCGAGTGGGTGAGTTCACTGGAGAAAGCTAAGACATTGTGTTCAACTGTACTCCCTGATCACAGACGTGACCACTGCGCACTTAATGTGCCGTATGACTGTCAGTGTCAGACTAGCGTTTCGTTCTAGGCGTTATTCACACTAAGATAGACCACCAACGGAACTGCTCTCCAGTGGTTTTTCCCGGTCTTTTTTTATCTCAATCGTCAGGTCGTTAAAACACTTGTCCCGATATAGCGATGTACCAAAGCTGACCTTAGTTGATATATTTGTGTTCATTCGTGTTAGTTCTTGTAAGTGACTAGTGTCGACGATACGCAATTCACCCTCTTCATAGAGCATTATTGCATTGTGTGTCGACTTTGTAACTCAGACAGAAGCACATTCATTTATGCCCGAACACAAGTCTAGCGTTCATCAATGAACCCACATTTAGCGCGATTTTCGCCATACTCTAACAAAATCGCCTGAGAATTAACCAGCTGATTTACGCCATTTATCCACCCATCTGTTTCGCTTTGCTTTTATATCATGCTTCTTTTGCTACATTGCTGAAAGCATGTTTCAGCTTACAGTTTACCTGTCATGCGTGCATAGAGCACTTCACTTGGCATCTGTTCAGCAGCGAGGCATCGTCAACATGACCGCTGCAGTGTAGCCGCGATACAACTGTCATGTCCCAGCCAACCAAGTCACATGCTTTCTATCTGCTTGCTTCGATTGGTCATTACTGATGCATGTTAGGGTGAAACGACCAAAACGGCGACACATCCGTGCATCCTACTGATCTTTTTTTCCTACTATACAGCCAAAGACGCATTACTGATGTGATTAAAAATAAGAAGGAATAAGAGCGATCCAAACCCTACTCGTTTTTGGTGGTTTCGCGTTCCACCTGTATCCGACCAGCGCACTCCCTTCCTGCAAGCTATTGTCTTGACTACATTCACCGTGGGGATCGTGATTCTATACTTCTACATTGTAGATTTAACTGTCTAATGAATCACCACTCCATTCTCACGTGTACCCCACACTTTCGCAATTGCTGTCATTTTTGACCTCTCAACTGCCCGTCCTGTTGTCTCTTTGAGTTGACTCAGTTTTGCTGGGCAGCGAATCGCGTTTACTTGCACAGTTCGGGATTACGAGTTAGTTGTTTTATTTGTCTACTACCATATTCTTATTGATTTGTGCCATAGATCAGCTCCGGCCTTTGTCTCATTGCATTTTCCCCCGGGTCTACGCGTTGCTTAGCTTTCCAAGCTTTTTGATACTCACGCAAGGTGTCTGCACCCTACCAACAACACAATCGCGTTAACATAAGGCAGCATCGGTGAAACGATTTTTTTTGGCACTTTTGCCGTTCTGCATCAGTTAACGTTTTCCCACGGATAACTCGAGATCACATACACTAAAGACAAACGATCTAATTGAAGGATGAGTGCAAATATGCTTTTACCATCGGGTGCGAGCCTCCAAATGACTGATTCTTAGCAATGGAACATGAACACCAAGATTCGGCTCAAATGTTCCTGATTCACATAAACGAAAGCACCTCACTTTTCGGTCCTAGTTTTGGTTGCTGACGACCTGCTGATTTGGAGGGTAATTGGTGATCTCAACACCTGTGACGTTTTGCAGCAGAACCTCGATCGCCTGTCCCTGTGCTCTGCAGAGGTCTATCTACCGATAAAGTCGTCATTTAAAAACCTAGGGAAGGGCGATGATGGGCCGACGAACCACTACATTCCACGCTGCGACTTAAAGTCCGTGGACAACACAAACAAGCTAGTTGGAAACGGAGTGCGCATGTTCTGAGTGCTCAAACGCAGCTTCTACACTTGGTCTGAAGAAATTGCCACTCGCCTCTTCTTTTCCATCATAAGTCCAATGCTAGTGAACGGCTCACTCGCCTGTTGTCCGATTCAGTTCAGTCCAGTTGATCAACTATGATCCGAGCACTAAAGTGCCGTGGATCTAGTTGGAACGACTTACACCGTAAAAGTAACAATAAATAATACCGGTAGGATAGTGTGGTTGGATGTAAATAGAATGTAGGGAAAATGTAAGCGAGAAAGAATTGCGTTAGACTATTCAGAATGGAATGAAAATTAACAACCAGATGAAAGAAGCCGTACGCAAGAACGCCACTGACCACGTCACTGCGCCATGTCGATACGGTCTCTAAACATTGGTGTGGACGGTCCCGAGGTCCCCGTCCAGGAAGACGGCACGCACCAGCCTGATCAAGTCTCTCGATCAATTACTATTCCCCGTCATGGGCTGGCCACCTCACGGTTTCACCCAACTTGGTGCAGCCACGGCGTATAATGCACGCCGAGGAAGCCGGTCAACGAGCATACGTAAGACATGGTCTAGCCAACGCAAGCGACCAAGATTTATCAAATACTCGAGAGGGGCGCCAGAAGGCTTCTTGCTAAAACCAACTGGCGGATCTTAGCATTGTTCACCCGGTGTTCCCATCAAACGTGAGCAATAGTTACAAGCACCGGTGATCAAACATGATCAAGCGTCTAACTGTCCAGGTCTCTGGTCCACACAGTAACACAGGCCTTATCAAGGCGTTATACACCCTACCTTTCACTGGAAAGCTGATATCCCGCCGTCTCCATAGATGGTTGAGACGCTGGAAAGTCACACGGGCCTTGCTGATACGCGAAGTAGCTTCATCAGTGACGTGACCACCAGAGGTGATACCGCTTACCAGGGTAGGTGAACCGATCCACCACTTCCAGCGGCTTTTCGGAACTGGCTAAAACAGTTGTGACGGCCCAGTCCTGCAACAGCACTTTGCATTTTGAAGGTGCAAAGTACATGTCGACGCGTGCAGTGCTACGCACAAGTCTGTGCAGTAGTGTTTACATAGCCAATGCATCGGATTCAAGGAGAACTATGTTGTCCGCATACTCAAGATTTGTCAGTCGATCGCCTCGCAGAACTTCCACTCTATTATAGTCTGAAAGAACCGAGTCATTCATAGTTATTTCGATCACAAGGTTATGGAGGAGGAGATATAGGACAACTTTGGTGTACCCCACTTGTCATGGGGGACTCGGAAGAGAGTTTCCCGTAGACCCTTACAGGCCTCGGGAATCATTTCTTGTCCATGTTTCGTTCACATGTGCTAACTTGCATTCTAAGCGTGAAACGAGGGCCTGGCAGGGTATTAGACTGAAACGTTGCTTGTCCAAATGCTGAGAATCAACTCACCCACTTCGTCTTTCTCTGTTCTTTAGCGGGAGCTCAGCTGTTTGTTCCAAAGGCAGATCGAAAGCAGGGAAGCTTTTAGTTTGTGCAGTAAAGGGTTCGCTGTTATCATAGAAAAACCGACAGCGATGAGTGTGGCTAGCTAGAGGAACGGGGAGATGCAGCACACGAAGAGATCGCGCGATGTTGATCAACCGAGGCGCCGAGCAAACGGTGTTATACTGGATCTAAACTAGCGGTTTCAACATTGCAGTTCAGCATTTTGCACCGATCGCCTAAGTATACAATGAAAGAGTAATTTTACTTAAAATTGTAGCCAACGGACTCAGGCGAACCGGGGAAATTTTCAGACTACCACAGTTCTTAGACTGAGCCATCTCCCAGTTACCTCTTGCACACTCGTTGATCTATCTTCCTTCACCCATTTTCTTATCTGTGTGTTTGATCTTTTTGTGCACTTTCATCTACTAGTATCGATCGATTATAATTACGGGTGGTGATGTATATCCGTGATAACTGGACCCATCGCACCTCTGATTATAGTCTGTTAATCGAATGCGGTAGTGACTATCATCATTTTTCGCTGACAGACGTTCAGATTCACATATGCAATCTGGCTGCCCAAACTGGAGTCACGCGGTTTCTCGAGGAGCATCCACGCTGGATGTAAGTTCATCTGCCTTGATTTCCTGTAATCCTTGCGTTATATTGGTACATTCCTGTTCCCTGTTAATTGTCGTTAACGCTTGTAGCAAGCTCAGAAGCTCGCCTCAAAAGCCTTAGGATCATCTTATTGGTTCACTGTGCTTCAACATATGCCTGTCCACAGGTTTTAGCTGAGTAGTATGAATGATTTGGTGACGAAAATGTCAGTTGTAGTCTGTTGACAGGAAATAACCTTTAATGTAGAAACACACATCTACTTTCACTGTTTGGTTTTGGCCTATCCGTTGTGGTTATGGTTTGCAACACGCAATCTCAATTGGGACCGCAGGTTGTGCCATGGAGTAGACCTCCGTCATCCCGACTGGCGGTGTTGCTTGTTCCCAACATTTCACTGTACGATCAGTTCGTCTTCGCTCGGCGGACTCTCTTAAGAGAGGGAGTGAAACTCAATACATCGTGGTTGATGACAGACAGCTCGTTTATTGCGCCATCGGGCTCCATAGGTCAAATGTGGTGGCGAGTATGTAGCGTTAATTGCATGAAACAAAAAGACTTGTAAAGCGAACAAATGCACAAACCGGACACGTTTAGCACTGTCACTCTGAAACGGCCTAGGAATTCGGGAAATTCATTATATCCATTCACTGTAGTATCAGCAACACTGGCGCTTGGAGCCGTCTTACGGACACTGACTCGCCGCTTGTCGATCTTGCGTATTGTTCATCCCACCTATTTGATTCCTTATGTTTTACGACAATATACACGGATGCAAAACCGACGATTTCTCGACACATGGGACCCAATATTACGCACCGCCATACTTGTTACGAAAACTTTCGCATTGGAACTGGGCGCGCTCCATCATTCAAAGGAGCCAAACTTTGCCTCCCGCCTAATTCTTGCCAACTTGCAGTTGGGCTTAATGGGCCACCTGCTTATGTTAGGGAACCGACTTGCTTGCTCGTTCACGCTTCGAAACGCTGATAGTAGCTTAGCTTTCGAAGTCGCGCTATATGCTTTAAAAAAACAACCGCCATGCTGCATGGCACAAGGCAAATGTGGGTTGCAATAACTCCAAGCGCCGCGATTGCAACTCATGTTCCTGTGTTCAGAATCGAAAACATGAGTCATCGAAACGTACCATGATAAGTGAGTGCATCCCGAGGGAAAGGATGACGAGTATGAGTCAGGAAGTGAACGCAGATTAGGCAACGCCTGTAAACGCCATTTCCCCACTGTGAATTCCAAATTCACGATAGTGAACTTTTCAACTGAGTAGCTTGTTCATTAGCAGAACGCGCTCGCGAAATTTTATCGAGGTGTTTTGTCCAATTGCACTGAGAGCTGCGTTTTGTAATTTGACAGCTTTCAGATCTGCACAACTTCTGTTACTAATTATTTCTGTTTAATATTGTAAATTTACGACGTTCCGCCTCATTATTACCTTTGTCTTATTGTGATATAATTTTTGGTACGCGCTCGCATTGGTTACTGACTGAACGCTCTGCGGATTTACTGCTGGGTTTGTTAGGTGCGAGTCGTTTCACTTATTCCTAAGTCTATTGTATTGTATTGTTAAAACTACGATTTAAGAGCCACGGTTAACATTACAAATCATTCTGCCCATCACCCTTAGTTTTACCATCCAGACCGTGCGTTTGTCTAGTGACTCGACCCGCTTTCTGACTTCCCAGTAGCAACATAGATTGGATGATAAATGTTAAATGAATGAATTTAGTGAAATCTCACCGGGGATGTGGATGGAAGAAGAGGAGGGGTGGCCAAGCGATAACTTGGTCCAGAGGAATGAAGGCCCTCACTTCGAAGCTGGCCTCGGTTGGAGCGTCTCGGCTCCTTGGTTGGGGTCCAAAAGACGATGGACACGTTTGGCTGGATACACTTGCTGACATGGCAAGGAGCCGACCTCAGTGGCGTTTGTGCTGTGAGTTTCTTTGTCCCTCCCCATCCCTTTTAGCCTCCCACTCCACCTACGATCTCATTTCCTAGCGTAAAATATAATAATGTTTCTTTTTGCCTAGTAGCCGGCTGGTAGCTTACCGGAACGATGCCTATCCGTTGCTGGTAGCTCAGCTGGCATGCAACTTTTGTATTTATTTTCCTTCTTCATTTATGTATTGCGGCACAGTAGCTGAGGTGTTTCCCACCTCTAGCTGACGTGTATAATGATGATGATGAACTCTAACAGGATGTAGATCGATTTAAACCGGTGTCATCTGCTGAGCAGCTCTCTGCCGCCTTACGTAGAATTAGAGAATTGGAACAACGCATAGAGTCAATTCTGTTGAAGTAGGAGAATGTAGTGTTAACTGGTGCTGGTTACACTGGGCAATCAGTCAGAGTATGGTCCGTGTGAACATGACTACACCAATTTGTCCGGTGCATGTGCTGACAAATGTTTTGCAACCACCCCGGTCGCGACGCGGTTAGACCAAGTGGGTGATGTGGCGGCTTCCGTGCGTTTTGCCGCGGTTCGAAACCCATCTGGAGTTTGTGACAGGATTCGAGGTTGTCGACATGCCGATCATGGCGGGGCAGTTTCCAACGTTGGTACGTTGGAAGGGAGATACTGCGCTTTGATGGTGATTCTTTAGGTTATTGGATCTTTATCCGTAGCTTCCAAGCGAACTTGATGAATACAACGACAGGTCCCGAGGTACGACTGTCTTACCTTACTGCGAAGGGCAGGCGAAAGAAGCAATTGTGAGTTGTGTGATATTAGAACCGGAGGAGGGACTTCGAGATGCACTAAAGACGTTGAGGTCCAGTTTCGGATGCCCACATTTTATAGCCAGAGCACACTTCGATCAGTTAGTCAAAGGACCGCCTATAAGAGCTAAAGATTCGGATGAGTTGCGCAGGCTAGCTGGACAAATGAAGGCCTGCCTCAATACGTTACAACAGCTGAACTACCAAGCTGGTATGAATGCAACAGTGACAATAACAGCAGTTCTCAGAAGATTTCCCTACGACTAGCAGACTGAGTGGTCCAAAAAGGCAGCCGACATCTTTCAAACATGTAGAGAGCCCAACTACGAGGATTTGTATCATCTTGTTTGCGAGTGCGCTGAGATCGCCACCACCCAAGCAATGTACGTAGACCAGCTGGGGCATAGGCGTGAGGGTCCTCAGAGATCGAGCCTTCCTGAGATTCGAGGGAACCGCGTAAATGCCTTAGCACTAAGAGAAGGGACGCAGCCCACTCAAAGGTATCCGCCTATGTGCATAGGGTGTACGCAGACTCATTACCTGAATCAGTGTCCTCGTTTTCTCTCGATGAACAATGTTGAACGTCTGTCACTAGTATCACAGAAAGGCCAATGTGAATTATGCCTGAAACCGAACCATCTGTCGATCAACTGTAAATCCCGGTTTGCTTGTGGACTAGATGGTTGCCAGTTGAAGCACCATCCCCTACTGCACAATGCCCAGGTAGTACGAACACCACTTGCCGTTGTGAATGAGGCGACAGGTTCTGTAAATCAATTTGCCTTGGGAGTCATACTCGTGGCACTGTGGCAAAGACAAAGTTATAATAATAAACGCTCTACTCGACACTGGCTCGGATACGAACGAAGAGCAACTTCTGCACGAGCTTCAGCTGCAAACGGAACTGTCGGTAAGTAGAATATCCACCCTTAATGGAGAATTAAGCGTTTGATCAAAGGCGGAGTAGTTATAGCTAATGTCCTTGGACGGAGGCGAACCCATTTTGGTGGACCACCTCTGGTCTGTTCAGATAATGCCTCAAGTCAAACGCCTAATACCAGAGTCAAAATGTCTATATTGCTGGGAACACCTGAAAGATTTGCGATTCTTGGATAATCGAAATCAATATATTGATGTTTTAATAGGTATGTACGTCCCACATGCTCATTGGGTACTCAAGCAGCGGTGTGGAAGACCTACGGAAACGTTTGCAGTGCGTACACTGTTGGACTGAATCCTGATGAGACCGGTTGGAGGACCAGTCACAATGATAGCCTGCGCACTCTTTCTGTGGACAATCATAGCTACCCTTTCTCATGCGAATGTATGAACTAAACATCGTAGATTGCGGCTCGGAATGTCTATTGAAGGCGAACAAATAGAAGCGTCCGTCACCAGGTGTGGATCCCACCATCAACTCGGCCTACCATGGGAGCGTGAATGCCGGAAACTTCCAAACAAATAACCTGTTGTTTACCGTAGACTGATGTTGCTGGATAGAAAATTTATGGCAAATGCTGAGTTACATCAGGTGCATAAGGCAGCTGTCGAGGGATATATATCGAAAGGCTTTACAGAATTAGCCGATTCAGGACTATTTATCCACAGTAACGGAGCCCAGTATATGCCTCACCACGCGGTTACGCATCCAAACGAACCAGGTAAAGTCCGTGTTGTTTCCGATCGTGAACCGACAGTTTTTGAAAAGTCTCTATTTAATTAACAGTCTAGTGGGCGTGTTATTGATGTTTAGAACAGGGGCTATTGCCGTGATCGCAGATATTGAAGCAATGTTTTATCAAGTGAAGTTAGCGCCAAGTGACAGAGACTACATACGATTTTTGTGGTAGCCTGACGGACAACTGCATGAGTCTCCAAAGGTGTTTCGCATGACCGTCCACTCGTTCGGAGCAATCTCGTCCCTGTACTGTGCCTCGCTTGCTCTCAGGTGGACTGTTGAGGATTGTAAAGACGAGTATCTCGGGTCAGTTTTGTCGACGCTACAGCGAAATCTTTATGTCGATGATTGTTCGTTCAGCTGCAGTAGTCGAGATGTAGTTCGGAATCTTATCGGTCGTTTTCGTGAAATTGTATCTAAAGGAGGATTTCGTTTGACCAAGTAGAAGTGTAACGACCACCTAACTATACAAGAGTCGCCCTCTGATGCACATATAACCGATTCCGTTAAGTTTACAATGCGATGACGTGCATTCCACTTCGGAACTGAAATGGAACCTGGCCGATGATTGTACCACATTTCGTTTCACAAGTTT